TTTTTTTATTAAAATATTTCTGCTGTTTAATTAAGATTTTTAAAGAAATTATGATATTCTATCAAAACTGTTTCGGCAGGATGTAGAACCCTAATCCGAGACATTCAAAGCTGTCTGCTCCGATGTCCAGTTGTGCTGTCTTCCCTCTTCTCCTTGTTCAAGCCGCGGGGGAGGGTGTCTGCAAAAGACACTCCGACGCTCAAGTCAGTGACTTTGCGTAATAATCTTGTAATCAAGATTTAGTTATCAGAGCTCTAAGTTTGAGTTCCAGTTTTTAGTTCAAGTTAAAAGTTACCTGTCTCCTTTGCCAGGAATATATTTATAAATTATAATGAGCTTACCGTTAAGTCTGACTCATTAACCACCAATGAATGACAATATTAATTGTCAATAAATGACAATTATTTTCATTAACCCCGACAGTTATTACTATTAATTACCTTAACGGCTGATTTAACCGATCGGTTCACTGACCTGGGAGGTATCATCGATCGGGCTGATTTTACCGATCGGTTCATTGATCTGAGAGGTATCATTGCTCGGGCTGATAATATCGATCGGTTTATTGACCTGAGAGGTATCATCGGTCGGACGACTCTTCTACACTTTTACCGTTCGGTCGGCTATGAGCCCATAGTAACAAAAACCATTAAAAAGATTTAGAAAAGGAAAACCTTAAACAATATTTAATTAATATTTTAAACGAAAACATTAGATGTTGTGTAGAATTCATTGTTTTTCGCTATCTTTATTGTTTCATTCTAACACAATTTTAATGGAAGTCTTACCTCAGGTTTGTTAGGTACTTTATATAATTTTGTTTACGTTTCTTATGAAGCTACTGTGACAAAGAGTTTATCATTTTTTTAACTGCGTGAAGAAATTATCTTTGTTAAATAACCAACTGCTTCCCTAAAAGCCATTTTATAAATAAATGAATTCTCCATCTTTAAGCATAGCTAAAACGAATGACTATTTAAAAACACAATGCAATGAAACTGAAATCTATTGTAAAAGAGTGAATGTATAAACCAGGCAACAATGCAACACATTATTCAGAAACAGAGGAGCAGTCTGAACATTAACTTACACTAGTTTCTAGGACAAAATTTAATTAAATAAATGGAGCATGATTTATCATGAGTAAGTTATAAATTCTGATAAGCTCTTTGTGTTGTTCAAATTATTTCTTCTTTATTGATCTTTAAACAAGGAATATAGGAAATCCTAGGCCAGATTCATCCTTCCATTCCTTTCATATAGCTCTCTTGTAAAAGAGGATATTCGCTTATGCTAATTGGTGAAAGAGAAAGAGGGATCAATTCCTAGTGACGGATGCTTGTGTGAGTTCCCAACAATAAAAGACCTCAACTTTTCGTAAATTGAAAGGCAAACCCTCTTCTGCAAATGACTTCAGACATAAAAGCTCATAAACAATCAATTCTTGAAGGCCTGTGGGGTGTTAATGTTGGGAATCCAAATGTGAGTCCAAGTTTCATATTGTAGAAATAAGAAAGTAGAGTAATATATAAAGATGAAAAACTCATTAATCCATTCTCTTAAGATTTAATATAAAGAGTAGTGTCATCTCTTATATAATTGACTATTATTGGTGTTTGTCTAATCTAAAGCCGATGATTTGTCTTAATAACCGATTCAGACGATTATAGTTGGTTGGAGTTGAGTAATGATAATAAACCTGGGACCAAAAAGTGTAAGTCGAGTACATCACATTCAACTATCCTGAGTCTTTCTAACGACGGAAGGTTGCTAGGTAATTTCCCTCTATTGGACAACAAAATATACATAACTCTTCATGCGAAGGAAATTTCGTCGTTATATCACTTAGAAAAAAAACCATTCCTCCCAACGGTTGCTCTAATTTGAAATATGAAAATATCGAAATGTTTCTTGAGTTTTTCCTAAGGTTTGGAAAATCTAAGAAAATTTATAATTAAAAAGCATTAATATTTTAAAAAACTATATATGATTTTTTTTAAAAAATACATATTTATAATAAAGAAAATATAAATTTAGTTTAAAATACAAATAAAAAATAATAATAAACTAAATAAAGATAGATATAGATAAGACATCTAAGATAACTTTGTTATTTTTTTCATATTCGTTAATAACTTGTTGAAATCATAAATGGAAGAATAGGAAGAAAATATTAAAGTTATGTCAAAAGATTTGGGGCACAATGTCCCATTTTTATCAGTTTTTTTCATCTGGGAAGCAAGCACTCTCCTTCAGCTTCTCATTTCTTTAATTCTTTTAATGTTAATATATAAAACAATATTAAACAAATTTTTTAATTCCATTCCCGGATTTTTTTAATTTTTTCTCTTTTTTCTTTTTCTCTATTCAATCTTCTATTCTTTTTCATTTAACTATAGTCTCTTCTAGCGATCTTGATCTACGTTGAAACATTGTGCTCTTTCTTTTTTTCCAGAATCATCAACAATTGATAACCCATTATAGTATGTGTCCTTCATTTTTGCATTATATTTCTTTAGGTCTTTTGTATATTTCCTCTCTTTGCACGAATTGTTTTTTAGTATTTTAAGGCCTTTTTCTTACACAAAGAAACTTATTTTCTTCTGACGGTAGTGATGAACATTATAGAGTTTGTTTTCTTCTCACCAAAACCATATTGAAAAGAACTAAATTTAAGTTTTAAAAATAAAAAATTTAGTACAATAATTTGAAACAACTTAAAGGGTTTATTGTTAGAGACTAAACTATAATTTTAAACAATTTAAAATTTAGTTCATGGACTTTTAAACATTATTAAAATTTTAAAAATTGAGAGTAAACTTTACTTATAAAAAAATTTGCAAAATTTTTAACGTCTACAATTAACAATAGAGATATTCGTGCACTGCTAATGGTTGAAAAAGTTAACTGTATTCAACTCTACGAAACAAAATAAGAGACCGGTGTGGATTAACATTTATATAGGAAGATATACCAATGTGATCAGATAAAAAAGTTCATGTAGTAAAAGGGAAGAATGATGAAAGATCGAATTAGCTCTAGAAATAAAGAATTGGAAAAGAGATAATAATGATATTTTCGGAAAATATTTTTTCAAATGGCCAAGCAAACATAAAGAGGAATCGACAGATGGTATTATTATAAAATACATTTATAATACTTCTTGAAAGAAGTAATAATAAAGTAATGTACGTGCAATAAAAAGCCTCGATAATAATATAATTTTTATATTCGTTCATCCTAATTTGAATAACGTTCTTATCATACCAATTTGTTTTACAGAATAATGTTAGGTAGCAAAAACAAAACAGAGGAAATAAAATTCTGAAAGAGAAAGAATATAGGAGTTGAAATAAAACTAAACGTTATTATTCTAAATGTATACGAACTGCCAATTATTTATAATACTTGCAGTAAAAAAACAAATTGAGATTCCCAAATTGATTCTTATTATTCTCCTAAAGTTTAGTCTAACAACAAATAAATGCTAAGTGTTTTAAGCAACAAATATTCTCGTAAAGTGTAGTCTACCAACAAATATATACCAACAATCCTTCAAATTCACGTTGGGATTTATATCTGATATTCTTTTAGCTTACAATTGATTAAAGGGCGCTTGTTTCACAGTTGTGTTTTAAGTAATTATAGTTGCCAAGGATTTCACCTGTGCTATATCTATAGAGCCAAGCTTCGAACAACCAGATAGGATGAGAGTTTTTAGAGATCTCAACTTATATATCTCTTGGGAGAGATAGCTTAGACTTGTGCAATCCTTCAAATTTATTACTAGTATATTGGAGAGATCACCAATGGATTGGTGTACCTTGCGCAAACTTGGACAATCTTTTAGAATGAGCTGTTCAAGACTTGGTAGTCTGGAAAAGTCTGGTGTTTCTTTCAAGTATTTGGAGTGACTAAGATTAAGGAATTTTAACCGCTCCAAAACCTACAAAAATAGTGTACAGAAGATTAGGAAAGTAAATGTAAAATGAATGCAATAGTTAGAACTGGAACCTATAATACTATTTCTATCTTAATTAACCTACGAGTTTTAGAAGAAAAGGGCGTAAAGAATACCTGGGGTTTTTTCCAGAGTGGTTGTTTCCAGACGAGTTGAAGATGACTATGTCTTAAATCAATTGCAATTACATTTCCCATATAAAAGTTGTTTGGAATGTATTTAGAAGCGAATCCTTTCCAGCAAATCCATCTCCATTCTTTAGAAATGTGCCCATAATCTCCAACAACTTGCACATGATCTAGTCGTAGAAGTCTTAAATTCTTCATTTCCTTGAAAGCATGAGTTTTGAAGCAATCTCTGCTTGTTGAATGCAGTTTCAGGGACAATCCCTGGATAGCTTCTGTCCCCTGTGATGAATATAGCAAAGATAAACAATTGAGAAATCCATAAATAATTGATTATTAATGTTGAGTTTAACAAGTTAACAACACAGGCATTACACTAAAAAAGAAAACACTTTCAAAATCATATAAATAATGTTCTTACAGTATTCTCTTTCAGTACATCTTTTACGTCATCCTGCAACCACAATCGACTTTTCTTCCCCTGTTTCTCTGGGCATAGTTGAGGAATAATTTCTCTTCCCATGTCTGGTAACAAAATGTGCATTTGAAGTTTGTTGTTCCTTTCAACTTTTATGAGGCTACGCTCTATGAGAACTGTTATTCCAATATCAGCTCTATGAAGAATTTAAGACTTCCACGACTAGTCCACAGCCATTTAATATACATCAAGAATCATTTTCAGTATCACGTAATCCATCAAAACTTATTTTTAATCCGTTCACAAGTGTATCCGGGGGCATTCTTTGTAATTTGCCCAATACACTTTCCCACTTTTCCTTTGTCGTATCACATAAATCAGAACCAAGGAACTGAAGAGCCAGTGGTAGTCCTCCACAATAATCAACTATGTCTCTTGCAAGTTCCTTCAATTCTTTTCTTGGTTTTGCTTCTTTAAAGGCATACCAACTGAAAAGCTCAAGTGACTTATTTTCGTCCAAAACATCCATTTTATAAACATAATTAACTTTGAGTTGGTTCATCAGGCGAACATCTCTGGTTGTGATGATTATCACAGTTCCTTGACCGAACCATTCACGACTCCCGCATAGGTTTTCTAATTGGCCAGACTCATTCACATCATCAAGCACAATGAGCAACTTTCTTCGAGAAAGTTCATTCTGGATCATAGTTCTTCCAATGCAAACGCTTTGCACCTTAAACTTGGATTTTAGGACAGCATAAAGGAGCATTTCTTGCAAACGAACATTTTTTTCATATCCTGGATCCGAAACTTCTCTAATATTCTCAATAAAACTCTTACCAATGAATTTACGATAAATTCGATTGTAGATGGCTTTGGCTATGGTTGTTTTACCTGATCCTCCCATTCCCCATATTCCTATCATACACACTTTGCTGGATAGATTTTGAATACATTTAATCACGTCTTCCACGCGGGACTCTAATCCAACAGGATATTCAGTAATAAACAAGTCTTTATAGTCCAGTAATGTCTTAACGTGCCTAACAATTTGCTCTACCAGTTCAGCATCACGCCTTCAAGATGAATCATAATGTATTACCAAAATTAAATCATAACCTTAACACATGCTTCATTCACTCTCAAACCAAATAAAGTAGGAAGGATTCATTTGTTTACCTGAAATTTCTGAAATCCCAACCGCTGATTCCTGCAGCTGTGGTGACTGCACGGGTCCACTTGGACAACGCATGTTCCAGTTGTTCTCCTGAATAGCTTTTGTGTGCAGCTTCTTCCAACGCTTTTCCAAAATCATCCTTCAGATAACGTACATCCGATGGGTCAATCTCGTAAAACACGGGCAGAACTATTTGGCCAAATGTTTCGTGGCATTCAATGATTTTTTCGAGCTCAAGAAGACAGCAAGCAGATTCAGTGTATGATTTGGAGAAAACGATTATTGTAATCTTAGTGTGTCCTATTGCTCGCATGTGCTCTTCCAACTTCATTCCCTTATGCAGATTCTCCTGGCTCATCAAAGTTTTGACTTGAGCTTGTAAAAGGACAGAGTGGAGATGAGAAACAAACCTTCTACCGATGTCTTCTCCACCAAAGTTGATGAACACATCGTGTAGGAAATGGGGTTCTGATGTTAAGAAGGATGAAGATGATGATGATAAAGAAGAAGATGCAAACTCCATCGAAGGAATTGAAGTCCACTCTTCAAAGATAAAGCAATAAAGATTAATATGTTTTAGATCTAGTCTCGAAGTGCGTGATGAGTCGTCCATATTCACTTTAAGAGTTGCAATTATTCACAGTCGATTTCAAAGAAAAATTTCAAACTCCTTATTTTTACTAAAATATTTATAGTGATCAATTAAAGAAATTATGGCATTTTATTAAAACTATTAAAAACATTTAGAAAACGACAAAGTTAAATAATATTTAATTAATATTTTAAAGAAAAACATTACATGTTGCGTGGAGTTCATAGTTTTTCGCTTTCTTTATTCTTTCATTCTAACACAAAAAGATGGCTACAACTGAAAATTGGCTTAAGTGATTAAAGTGCTTAGCTCGAGCAAAAATATATTTCCAGGAGACATCTTAAATTTTTCCGTCCAAGTACTTGAGAGAAACACCTGACTTTTCAATACTACCAAGTCTTGAACAGCTCATTTTAAAAGATTGTCGAAGTTTGTGCAACGTACACCCATCCATTGGAGATCTCTGCACTCTAGTTCTGATAATTTGAGACGCACAAGTCTAAGTTGTCTCCCAAGAGAAGTATATAAGCTGAAATCCTTAAGAACTTTCATTCTCTCTGGTTGTTTCAAAATTTTTATATTGGAAGAAGATATAGTGAAGTTGGAATCCTTGATAACTCTAGTTACTGAAAATACAGTTGCTGAAAGTACGGCTGTGAAACAATTGCCCTGTTCAATTGTAAGCTCAAAGCATTGGATATATATCTCTACGTGGATTTGAAGCATCACATAATATTTTTCCTTCAATCATTCGGTCTTGGATGTCACCAATTGTGAATCCACAATCTTATATTAGCCCGTATTGCATGGATATGGAGAATAATAAGGAGCGCGACCTTGCCCCATTGCTCAGCGTCCTTGCAAATATTCGAACTGTTCTTGTTCAATGTGACGCGGAGGTTCAATTATCAAAGCAAGTAAAGAAAATTCTTGTCGAATGCAGTGTAAATTTTACAGAGTCAAGAATTTCAAAGCGTCATTTGAGGTTTTCTTTGAATTGTGTTGGAAGTTACAATGATTTCTTCAACACTCTCAACAATAGCGTTTCTGAGGTTCTTTCTCTAGCTCTTGCCTTTTTTGTAATACCTTCATCATTTACTTCAGATATTATCTAAGACAACATGAAATGATAATAGACTATGTGAAGGAAACTACAGAACTTACCTTTCTCCAACTGTTGTTTCTATAATATCAATGCTTCATTTAAAAAATACCTGACTTTAATGATGAACGAGAAAAATGATCATGCTACACTTGAATTGTGTTTGTTAGATTCCCATTAATAACAAAAATATAGTGGAAATATAAGTTGAAAGGGTCGTAATACCGAAGCAAAATTATGAACAATTTGGTTGAATTTGATTTGTGTTTACATTGTAATTTGATTAAAAAGCCTATTTTGTGTTTTCCATGCTTATCGAGATTGGGACTAATAGAAATGGTTGGGACAATAAATATTTGTAATTTGTATGTAATGATAAAATAATGATTGTAGTTCATCATTTAAAGAGCAAAAATTATACATGACTAAGCCTTTGATCTACTGGTACAGGGATTGGCAAGCAGTGAGTCTTATGATGTTTCTCTTCCAGGTGACACTATCCTTACTGTTGGTCCATTGGGTGAGGACATTCTGTGTTCTTTCCATGTGCCTCAGAATAGTGACATGAAGAGAATGATTCTATGTGTTGTTTATTTATCAACCCCTGGAATCATGGCAACTGAATGTCTAAGAAGTGTCTTAATTGTTAATTACACAAAGTGTAAATTACAGATACACAACCATGGCTCAGTAATTTCCATTAACGATGATGATTGGCATGGCATAATGGCAAATTTAGGATCAGGAGAGAAGGTGGAGATTTTTATGACTTTTGATCATGGACTGGTCCGTCTATATGATATGTGGTGAATCAAATTTTGAAATAAAGCCTTGCCAAGCCAAAGGAAAATACCTTAAAGAAATACCTTAAAAACATGGTCCAATTATGTGTTTTATATTGCTGCTGGGTTTATACATTCACTGTTTAGATTTCAGTTTCTTATGCTTAAAGATAAAGAAATCATTCATTTTTTGGGTAGAAGTTTATTATTTAACAGAGGTAGTTTTTTCACGTCATTAAAGAAATGGTAAATTCCTTGTCACAGCATAAGAAAGGTAAACAAAAATTATAAAAAATGACCTAACAAACATGAGGCAAACCTTCCATTC